CGTACAGGAATCTTAGAACTAATAGCTTTATTTAGGCTATCCTGGAAGGCGTTATTAGTACGTACAGGAATCTTAGAACTAATAGCTTTATTTAGGCTATCCTGGAAGGCGTTATTAGTACGTACAGGAATCTTAGAACTAATAGCTTTATTTAGGCTATCCTGGAAGGCGTTATTAGTACGTACAGGAATCTTAGAACTAATAGCTTTATTTAGATCTATCCTGGAAGGCGTTAATAGGACGTACGGGAATCTTAGACCTAATAAGCTTTATTTAGATCTATCCTGGAAGGCGTTATTAGGACGTACGGGAATCTTAGACCTAATAGCTTTATTTAGGCTATCCTGGAAGGCGTTATTAGTACGTACAGGAATTTTATAACTAATGGTTTTATTTAAATCTTGGATAGATGAGAAATATGAATTAAGGTTTTAGATAAAAATATAACCCCAGCATGATATGTTGCATATGATTATAATGTGTTAAAAGGTAAAAACCCTGTATTAGTTTGGACCTATTTTTCTTCAAATAAACTGATCTCACCTGTTGGATTGGGACAACTAAAAGAAAATATGTGCTCTCCTCTCCTGCTTAAAAGGTAAGACTGCACCCTGCCACTCACACTTAGGTAGGAGCACACTCCATTTACTGATATCAAAATCCTTCGGGATCCCTTAAACAGATTAAAAAAGAGTTGTCTGAATTGAAACAGCAGTTAATTGAACCTGGTTCTTCGGGGAGTTAATAGAGGTGAGATCTTGCTGACGTTGGTGGATCTGAGCCAAGCAGTAAACTTACATAGACTCAATAACTTCGGTCAGGTCAATTAGTAGGTCAGAGTAATTTACCGGAATAAATTATCAGGACCTCGCCAACTCTAAACAAGAGAGTTGAAAGTCTGTGTTGCCCAGCGACAGCCCCAAAACTTCACTGCTCTGGAGGAGATCTGCATGGAGGAATGGGCCAAAATACCAGCAACAGTGTGTGAAAATCTTGTGAAGACTTACAGAAAACGTTTGACCTCTGTCATTGCCAACAAAGGGTATATAACAAAGTATTGAGATGAACTTTTGTTATTGACCAAATACTTATTTTCCACCATAATTTGCAAATAAATTCTTTAAAAATCCTACAATGTGATTTCCTGGATTCTTTCCCCCCATTCTGTCTCTCATAGTTGAAGTGTACAGGATGAAAATTACAGGCCTCTCTCATCTTTTTAAGTGGGAGAACTTGCACAATTGGTGGCTGACTAAATACTTTTTTGCCCCACTGTATAAACAAATTATCTACCTAATTACACATCCGAAAAGGCGTGGGAAGGAGTTTACACGTATTTAACCCCACCCCTTCTCCCAAAAACAAAATTAACAAAATATACATCTAAATGTATGTCTACATACAATATACATTTACAATTATAATCATTATTAATACTATATATATATATATATATTTACGTTGTATGTCAAATTTGATAAGACAAATATAAAAGACTATTTTTACATCTGACATACAAAATATATTTGTTATTAAAAAACTAAAACATAATAACAACACATTTTTGTTAATAATAATAATTACATTTCTGTAAGGAAAATGTATTTTCATGCATTTTTAGATCGTTAATAACAAGCATTACAATGTCTAAAGAGACTCGCTGTGTATGAGACTCAATACTCGCTCGTTGTACTTTCACCCCCCAGAACTACACATGCTGGCTATATGTGTGTTTCGCAACATGTTCAATGGCGCGTCTCTACTGGGAATTGTAGTTTTAAAAGACGTTTTCGTATTTCCCATAATTACAAATTTCCAGTATTAAACTGTATACATCCCTGGAGGTTTAGGGAATGGGAAACACATTGATGTCTATATACAAGTGATTGGAATATGATATATTAGATTCATAATTTGTAAATTGCAACCAGATCAATGTTGTGGATGTTGTTTAAAAAGTTCAGGTGTTTAATAGTCTTCTGGCCTGTGGGATGAAACTGTCCCTGAGTCTGGTGGTTTTAGTCCTGATGCTGCGGTACCGCCTGCCAGACGGCAGCAGACAGTACAGTTTGTGGACGTTTCACTGTGTGAAAAGAAATCTAAGATGTTGTTTAATTGCTGATATATTTATGATCCACGTCACGTTTTCAGTTTTGGCGGCAGTTCTTCCTGTTTGTCTCGAAGTCTTCTCATCAGGGCTCTATAAGTAGAGAACTACGGCAGATATGTAATATTTAATGCAGCCGAACCGTGTATTACAATGCCGTTATGTGATGACGTTCAAAGAGAAAAGCAAGCACACTCGGAATAAAGTATTTTTAAAAAAAAAATGTTTTCGGATTTCATATTGCATAAACACCATATCCCAAGGTGCATTGCGGCTCAACCATCCAATCACCGAGCTGAGGATCTTGCCTACTCTGTTTCCGGTATTGTTTATGACGGATGCATTTTGTTATACACACAGTCCTTCACATTTTAATTTACTTTAAATTATTTCATGAGGCCTTTTAAAAATGTTTTTAAATATAACTACGGTTCTAGTTGAAGAGTTTGTAAATTAACTTGAAGCCAAGTTGTTGCCTGGCAACGCAATCGCACAACGTCACGTCCGTTAATTCCACAACCGCACACATGGATTAACATCGATTTAATACATTAATGTAGCCTTTGTTTCTGCTAAAAGAGGTGTCGACCAGCTGGGGCAACAAGAAAATCGGCGAAATCGAGTGTGACTATTACAAAATAAATAATTATTATATTAATATTGACAATAACAACCGACCGTCGTGGTACAGCATTTGCTTGGCATTTCCGGGTATTTCTCCACTGGTTGGGTGGGCCATGTTAACAATACCGTGTAACTGTCACGTTTGAAGGGATGAAATCGTGACATCTTCACGTCTCCCAGCATGGTAAATCGTCACATGTTCATGTCTTGCTGTGATACCGGGTTGTTTATAAGTTAACAGCTGGACATAGATACATTACATTGTCTTGATAATGACAATTAGATAAATAAGAAAGGCCCCGGGGCTGCAGCTAGATGACAGATGGCAGCTGATGATCAGAATCAGGTAATCAGTCACTGAATAAAATTAGACCTGGTTCTGGTCTGTCTTGCAGTATATAGGCTGGAGTCTGGAAGGACGTTGTTGGCCGAAAAAGGACCCGTGAAAGACCCCGCACGGGCAATGTGTTTTTGGTTGGACAATAAACCCCTGTTTTGCACCCAAACCCTTCTCCTTCCGTCCCTTTTTTAACCCTGTGTGAGCGGAGAGGCTCACAGTCAGTCTGTTAGACAAATTAAACACTTGAAGTTTTAACGACACTAAAGTGTTGCATATTAGGGTAATGGGTGTTTATCTAACCATTAAACTACAAAGTAAACCCTATGTTTTATTAGTTGTAAATGAAGCCATTAATTACAATGCATACCTTCATATATAAACCCTCATAAAGGCTGTCTTTTTAGAAAGTGTCACCATTGAAAAGATCTTGAACAATCTTACTTATTCCATTCAAGATTATTATTGCAGCTGCTTTTTATGCTTTTCTTGAGCAGCTCCTTCTTCAAATATGACCATTCAGATATATGACTAAATGGAAATAGGCCTACTTAAACAAAGTGACCATGCCCCTGCTCTGCTGCGGGCTTTCCCCTCTGAGCTCAGTAGCCAGTCTGGAGCGACACATGCGGTTGTGGTGGAGGTTTGGCTCTAAACGTTTTGGTGTGATCTGGCTTCGGTCTATGATAATGAAATAACATCCCTCCAACCCACCAAGTATGCTCAGAGTCAGCCGGATATCCTCAATAGGTGTGCATTTAGTGATATAAATATAATAATGTATATCCAAAGATAGATAGACGGACAGATTATGCCCCCAGTCCACAGCCCAATACGACCCCCTGAGAATGGGCTGTTGTTAGCAGATGTAGCAAATCATCTTCCAGCGCGTAAAGAACACAGAAGGGCACAGCGTGGACCGCTACGCGTAGGGCCGTGGCGACAGGCGACTCGACGTACCAACACAAACAAACCCAAAACTTCAAGGACAGATGCCATTCTCTCGGTATGTTATCTCATGTTCTCCTACCACACGGGAATGCAATGTCATGGCTAAAAGCAGCACTTTAAACGCGTTGTAATGCAAAATGAGAACCAATTACGCATGGAGATTTGAAAGCCATTCTTAGTCTTTGAATCGTCTTTTGCCAGATTTTTATTTTTCTTAACTAATTTGTCCAGTTTTTGGGAGTCCACAGTCCTCATTTGCCCTTCCTTGTCCTTGCCATAGCCATAGAATTAGATTTGTCCCCTAGTTCAGGTTGGAATCAAGCCATTATGATAAAACCTTTATACGTTATAAAAACAAGAAATTGAGCCCTACGTTTCTTTAAAAAAAACAAACAGATGAATTAATAAGATGGGCAGCATATAATAACGATTGCGGTGCTTTGCTGCTTGTTGGGAATAGTTGTACAACGGCTGTAAAGCTAAATGAAAGGTTATGGTGAAGGTTGGGTAAACACACACAACAGGTTAAGGCTAGGGTCATTGTTGGAAAATGCAACACATGGTAGGACAATGACATTGGAGTCTCAAACACTTGAATCAGATTTCTTCAATTAAGTTTGCAACAGTGACCCAGACAGAACTTTGATGAACTGCATCTTGTGTTTTATAGATTTAATTTGAAAATAAAGTTCATACTTTTAAATTGAAAATTTACATTAATTTGGTTAAATAAAATGGGCAACTGGAAAAACTTGTTTTTGTTTAGGATATTTTACGTATGTAAATGCGATTAACTGTTGGTGTAATTCAGCTCTGATAAAGAGAAGATGATTATTTTAGGGGCGGACATAGCAACAGAGAGTGATGGCGATGAGGGTGGACCGCAAACAGCTGGAGAGAGGCTCCGAGCTGCTTTTATTTTGAAGGTAGGCTGTATTTATGCGTGTGTGTGCAGTTTGAATTGATTGGAAGGAGCTACAGGTCAGCCGGTTGCGCACATTACGGCACACACAGACAGAGCGCACCCCAACTGCGTGGATGGACGGAGCAACTTAAGGACTTCCCTTCCTCACTCTTAAGGCACATTTATGATTGGATGCCTACCAGCTCGGATTTTCTTCTCATTTATCAAGGGCTTTTTACAACGTGCCAACACTGAGCGGATATTGCTATTGCGCATCACGGGAGCTGGAACAAAAGGGACTCTTCAGGTGCGTGTATAGCCATATGTGTGTGAGTGTGTGCGCTCCTGGGTCTACATTTTTATTTTACTCTTGCTCTCACACGTGTGATTTTGTGTCTGGCGCAGGGAGCTGGTAGCCTTTACTTGTGCAGCAGAAGGTACTTTCACTTTCGTTAGGTGCGTTAATGTTTTATTACAAACGGCTTTCCATTTATGGGGTGATGATATCGTTCCACTGGTGAAATAAACCATGTTGCATGAGCCTGCAGAGAGTTGTGTGACCAGCAGCCACTTAATAGAGTTTCCTGAAGCTATATAGACCATGAAGGATAAAATGAGAGCTTATGATCCCACTGCCTTACAATAAGAGGCCCGCTAGAATAAACACCCGCGTCAAACAATTCCAATACACCGAGAGCGAACGTTGGAGGGAAATAGTGCAGGTTTCACAATTTGGAGTTGTGCGGCTCGTTGAAATGACTGAGACACCAACCTTTTAAGAGCTGCATGAAACAGGTGTAAAGACTCAGTGGGCAATAACCCGGTTTCCAGAGTAGAACTGAGGTTAAAGGACCTATTCAGGGCCGTTTCTTCCTATAGGCGGGGCCCCTTTGTTATTCATCCGAAAAACAAAAAAAGTTTAATTCATACACACCAAGATGAACAAAATTAGTAGAAGCGGGAGGGCTGAATCATATCTTGTGGAAAGTAGCCCTCCCGTGCATCATCCTAATACAGCGGCATTATTGCGTCAAAAATGTATAGAAATGAAGGAGTACAAAGAAATAAAGAAAACAGGAGAAAAAATTAAATTAAAGTTAGGGCAGGAAAACAATAAATGCATATATACGAAAACTAGATATAGGGTCATTTTCTGCACATGTCAATAGCAGTTTCAACTATCTTTTTTTGGAAATTAAAATAGCCTACTATATATAAAGCCAATGAGTGACGTCTGAGGAAGATGAAACATGTAAATTAAACATTGTTGAGAAAATGCTGCATCTCTTGCATTTATTGAAGTAGAGGTGCCTTATTGTTTACCTTTTTAATATCATTTTTTGTAATTTTCAATTGCTTGGTTTTTGTGAAATTAGCCTGTTTTCCTATTAAAGTGTAACAGATTGATGCATCTCCATTCTCCACAGATCATCTTAAAGGCTTCGGAATCCCCCCCATTGTAGTTAAACAACTGTCAAAACTAGGGCCCCCAAACAGCATCTTGCATAGGGCCCCCAAAAAGCTAGAAACGGCCCTGGACCTATTCCCTAAAGGGTTAGGCAGGGTTAGGGTTAGGTGGTGTTAGGAATAATTCTGAATATTCATATTTGTCTTCTTGTTTTAATTTGTATAACTAAACAACTAAAAACAATAGCGTTAGCAAGTAGAATATTTGTGACGTTATTGCAGCGGTAACGTTAGCCGTAGTCAATCAGATTAACGTTATTCTGACAACGAAAGATGTATTTATTTGCTATTTTAGCTGCCTTGAATAAATGTTTTTTTAATCGATAATCAACTCTAGTCTGCCGGCACCGTTTGAAATAATGAGACTGTTAGGGATTAATTTTGTCTTTACTCCTAAGTGTCAAAGAGTAATTCTCCTTACTCCTAAAATATTTGACCTTTCGGCCTGTTGACGTTTTACGACGAAGCCGAAGTCTGTTATCTGTCTTAAGGAAAGGGAACTGTCAGCTATTGCTGACATTATGAGTTTTATGACCGGTCAACTCTCGGTCACAAGAACTATAAAGTCAAATAAGTAATTCAGTACCTCCAGGTGGTCATGTACACCTTCCCCCCAATATGTGAGTTGACTCTGAGTGAAGCTAATTAAAGGTCTGCCAAGATGAGAAGGGATTCAGAATTGACATGGCAACCCACCGGTGCAGTCAGAACTTTCTGATGCTGTGACTTGTGATATGAATTCTCCGGCCGATGCTTGTAATAAACTGCCAGTGTTTGATATCAGAACTCCTGCTCGTCCCGTGTCTCTCTGAGTCCTGACTCTCCATTGCTACAGAAGTTTCCCTTACAGAGACCGTTAACGTTAGCAGCTGTTAGCTTAGCTACCGCCAATTTACGTTACTCATGTAGAATGAATGATTTCTAAGCTCTCGCCTCCCGCCTGATATAATGCTGTTAACAGTTAAGTCTACCTCTTCACACTACATTTGCTACTGTACATGTGCAATAGACCAATTCCAGTTGTGGAGGAAGTTTCATATGATTTAAGTTAAGTAAAAGTACAAATACCACCCTGTGAATATACTATGAGTAAAAGGCCTGCACTTAAAACCTGACTTAAGTAAAAGTATGCAAGTATAATCAGCTAAATGTACTTTAAGTAAAAGCACTCATTGTGCAGTGAAATTGTTCCTGTCAGTGTTTTACTATTTTTGGGATGCTTTTAGGTTTTATATTACTGCTGCATTAATGTGTATGTTGCATTTGACTTCTGTTCATGGTAATGGCCGAGCTGATCTGATTTGCTATCAAAGTTTTTTGTCAGTGTCTGACCCATCCATCAAAATATGACAGTGTAGTTATATTTGTGTTTATTGTTATCTTACAGTCATCTCCAGCCTTCAGGAGTACTCTGGTCCAGTGGAGGCAACCCTACATCCTAGCAGTTGGGACCACAAGAAACAGCTCCATGAGTACTACATCGCGTTGGATGGTGAGCTCCTTCCCTGCAAGGCCAAGTTTTCCCTGTCAGTTTTGATGAACTTTTTAAAGCACATTATGTGTTTGGGATCTCCTATGACCAGGCCTCAAACGGCATGTACACATTTTTGCAGACCACCATCTACAACATTGATGTAAACTGGTTGCCATGTACACTTTTAGATGTTGGTCATCCTGCTCGGTGATTGTTAGTCTTTCAAAACAATATTTTTTGTCAGTTTACTTTGCACATTAGCACTAGTGTATTCCACGTTGTCCATTTGTTGTAACAGGATTTTGGAATGATGACCTCTAAAGTGTTTCCCCAGCCTAAAGAGGCCTAATGAGCAAATGTACACACATTTCCACCTATGACCAATGTATTTTGTGGGTTGTTTGATGTTGCTACTGATTAGATGTTATATTTAAAACATATCAAAATCAATTTTTTTTTAAATAAACGCATGTTTTCAAGAATCTGATGTGTACTTTAATTCCTGAAGTGTTAATGATTCACCCCAAAATTGTTTGTTTGTGTTTGAAAAATGACCATGGAGTACATTTTCTCTCTCAAAGTGTTGAATAATCAGCTCTGCACAGTGACACTAACAGACTGACTAAGAGTACATTTTAACTCTCTGCGGGTTCTAGGTTTACACTGCACGTGTTGGAAAGCACTCAAACCGTGTCAAAAAAGTTATTGTGTATATTTTGAAGTGTTAGAATCTAACTCTTTATTTGGAGTTTATATTTTACACTTTTGACAGTGTTCAGAGAACACCAAACTCTTGGACCTATATACACCCCTAAACTGGTGTTAAATGTACTCTTATAGAGTACAATGTACACTGTGATGTTTGCAGTGTAGGCAGTAGTTTGTAAACGTCTGTAATGTATTGCTCTTTTACTTGTTTAAACCTGAGAAAAGAGCATCAGTTTTAAGACCTGAAGGCATTGATATGACTTACCATTGAGCTACCAACTGCACGCGAAACTCTCGAGACAGTATATTTTATAATAGTAAATAATGTGTGTATCTAAATTAATTGTTAAAATGTGCCAATTTGGACCCTTAGGAATTTGCACAAAAATCTACTTATATCAGAGATTTTTATTTCTCTCAATGCTAAAGTATCAAGGTTGAAATTTCCATTTCCTGCAATGCATAGCCCTCAACAATCCACAATAAATCTCAGAAACTATCACGATTAGTTTATTGCATCATATATGAGTGTTTTTCCCAGTGTTTTCCTTTGACTTTGTGCACTTTCAGAGCTTTTTTCACAACTTAATAATAAAGACATTAAAATGATATGTTATTGAGGATAAGAGTTGAATCTCTCGGGTGGACTGAGCGGATCTACCATAGAGTGGTTGACACAAATTGAAGAGACAGATCACGTTTTGTTCAGCCAGATAATATCCACTTGTCTACCCTACTTTTATAATTTATAACTCTTCAATTTGTTTCAACCACAGACCTAATTTCGATCTATTTTCCAAAATCCTATGGAGAAATTGCATTGGTTTTTGTCGAAGGAACCGGAAGGAGTTTACTTCCGGGTTTTAGGATGCGTCACTGTGGCACTCTATTGGAGAGTAGTCAGATTTATGCACACATAAACACACGTTTGATTCCCTAGTTTAACAAAAAAACAAAACAACCATGACATATTCAGATCCATGCTAACAAGCCTACTATAACTACTCTGCCTCCATCCTCTCTGATATACCCAACATGCCTTGTGATTCATTCAGATAATTTGCACCTTCTTTAGCCTTCGGTTGCAGATTGGTGCTTTCTAGTTTTCTTATTTTTCTAAACTGAGCACTTCAGCTCAGCCTGACACACTGCCTGCGTAAAGCCTTTTTCAAAATGTTGTAATTTATTGTTATTTCCCAACAACTATAGCTTTCTCCAATTCTTCGTGAGATGTCCACACATGATGTAGTTAGACCCAACAGTTGGATTTAGTCATTTCTTGATCCCTACACATTGGCTGCCTGCCACAAAGACTTAAGTGAAACTGTGGAGAGCTGGGAAGAGTTTGACAAAAGATAGATGAAGTTGGGGGGTATTAGAAAAAGAAGAGGAGGTCTTTTAATTTAGCTTACATTTTTTAAGTGAGTTTTCCAAATCATTAACATTAACCAGTGAATATATATAGCCTTGCTCCTGTGTGTTTTCTGCTAAAACATGAGAAGCATTCTTCCTGAGCATTGCTGGATTTTACTTGAGATTCAAACTTGTTTTTAAACAGAAGGAATGCGATGGGTGTGTTGCTCTGTAAGTCTCTGAATCATGTGGGGAATGCCTGTGCTCTCCCTGAAAGCTTCTAATATTCTGCTCAACGGGGATTTACACATATTGGAAACACCTTTTAATATGTTACGCACTCCAGTAAGACACCACAAACCACAGCCTCCAAAAGATCCCAGAAAGGACAAGCTCTCTGAAGGTGGGAACTTGATACATTTGGCTTTTATCTTGATGGTCTTCATGATATGTCTGCTGCCTGCTGTGAAGTTGCACTGAGCTCAAGAGTTACATCTGAAATGACCTTATAGTTGGTCAGTCGGTGCAAGTCTATATTTTGCAGGGGATAGGGCAGACATATTGTATAAATTAGGGGGGTGTTGTTTAACCATATATGTGAAGATGGTGCCCGAAAGTAGGTCCGAGTTTAAGATGTGCCAGTGAGGCTGCACTCCTCAGAACTGCAACTAGATCTTATGCTACAAAATCATAACTGAGAAGAAGTGACTGTAAGGATGGAAGCTGTCTGTGCTCAGTTGAGTTACATGTAAGTATCTGCACTGGCGTTTTGCAGATTGCCTAGTTTAATTAGTCATGTGCCATGTTTGAATGGACACCAAGGCCTTGAGTGATTTCCAGTTTGTGGAGTTGTTGCCTCAATGGTCCACTGAAACACTGAAATTCAAAGTATACTGAGAACATAAATGAGATTTAGGTTAGATAAATTCTTAGTTGAAATATTTAATTCCAAATGTAGAATTTCGGGTTACTAATTACAAGGTTGGGCCTTTCTTGGATCAGGGATTACGATTGACCATGAATGTTGAGATTGTACTGTGCAGATGTACAGTAGATATCAGCTGAAAACAAATAGAAAGATAATATGACAGTCTCACTATAGTGTAAGAGCGCCTCACTAGGAAGTATCTATAGAAAGGATCTCACACACAGTGATTCATCTGCGTCTTTCCAAATTTCCTCACACCCTTGTCGTGACATTGGCATGGAGGTGTTTTGAAGATGAGTTTGTATGGATGCAAGTGTTGTCACGGTTAAGGACTGAGTCCTTTTCCCCCCTACACCTAACATTGTAGTTCTGTTGCCAACATCTGAATACATTTTTTTAGCATTCACGTTAAAGCTTTATAGGATATTTTTGGTCCGTCTGACGCAGTAGTATGGTGAAGACAGGGCCGGCCCTAGACTTTTGGGGGCCCTAAGCGAGCTTTGGCTTGGGGGCCCCCCTCACTCTAGCGCGTTCTCACTTCACACAACACGGAACCAACTTTTGTCTTATGATGTTAGCATAAGCACACATATTGTATAAATAAGCATGTAAACACCGTGGACCTAACATCCTCTAGGGGTGTCCGGGGGCATGCTCCCTCAGGAAGATTTGTTCTTAAATATTGAAGTTAAAAGCATCAATCTGGTGCACTTTGAGAGCAAAATTAAGAGATCTATGGATACATCTCTCAACACCCATATGAAACAGTCAGTGGCCAAACAGCCACATTTACTGCTGCACATACGTTTAATCATGCTGTCGACATGTAAAGCAGTGGCAACTATGCCACCATTTCAGCTGAATTTTTCTCAGGAATACTGTCACATAACATCCATATATTTCTGTGCTAGGTTGATGCTTAGCTAAGCTAACTATGACACATTTTAACTGACAGGACTCAGGATCAACTGTGTACTGTAAGGTAGCTTCTAGCTTCATGTCGAACAGTAAGTCAACATTTCCCAGAGAGCTTTCTTTGAAATCACCAGGTAACTCTAAAAAACATTATATTTAGATTGTATGACAAAGTGTTTATTTAATATATCTGGCTAGCTATAGCTACTTGCTAACAGCTTAGCTTACCCCCGCGATTCAAAGTAACGTCAACGTAGCTGTAATTTCTCCTGGCTGAAGTGCTGGCTCTGGGGTTGTTGTGTGAACCACCACTTGAGAATTGTCGTCTTTTTTAAGAACAAATGTTTTTATGTCCATCTTCAAAAACTCTGAGTCTGAGACTGAAAGTTTATTTTAAACATTGTCGCAGCTCACAGGATAGGTACCTGTCAGCCAATAAGACAGATGTTTATTTCCATTAAACTCTCTGGTTGGTCTGGTGCCTTGCCTCTGTTGCATTCACTGAACACGGGAAATTACAATCCTGCCGTCCTCTCTAGTGTCATGATGAGGTTCAGGTAAAGCACGGTTAATGTATTATATGATTGACTCAATAATATAATACATGACTTTGAGAGTAGGCAATCTAGGCATATTAACAAAATTAATTAAACATACTTATCACGGCGACGGTGTGCTGAGATAAAAAACGGTGTACTGAGATTTATTTATTTATTTTTCATTTTTTGCTAGGGGGCCCTTAGTGGCTGCGGGGCCCTAAGCGGCCGCTTATGTCGCTTAATGGGTCGGGCCGGCTCTGGGTGAAGATAACCATTCATAACGCAGATTTAATCGGTTGATAACATTTAAGATAGGTGATTTTTTTATTTTCATTTACCGACTTCACCTTTCAATATGTGCTGATATAGCCTTTAAAATAAATACTTTTAGTATAAAGCACCACTATGCAGTACAATACTGCCTTACAGAGCCATTATGATTGCTGCAGACTGCGAACCCCCCCAAGTGCATAAAACCAAACTTTTAAGAGTTTGCCGTTGTTCCTTTTTAATTTAAGAAATGTTCAGGCTTGAACTCATCAGTGGGGTGGACTGCCAACTTTTGAATCCATCAATTATATCATTTGCTTATTGTGTTATCCTTGCGCCTGACTGGTTTTGTCTCTTGTTTCAGTGAACATCAGGGAGCAACAGAAGTACAAGAGCCTCAAAAACCAAGATCTGCTGGAATGTTCACGATGCTCAACAATGAAATGAAGACCTAAAGCCAGATAACCCATGTTTGACCCACCGAACACAGACTGAAGAGTTGCAGACACCAGTGTTGTGTGCGTTGCTGGCCCTGTGTGTGTGTTTACACACTGTGCTGAGATTAAAGCACTGTGGAGTCAGGAATTTATGTTCAAGAGCATGGTCCAACTGTCCACCTCAGTCTACCTGCTGGGAGGCCTTTTGGGTAAGACACATTTCTCTTTGTGTGTATGTGTGTGTGTGTGTGTGTGTGTGTGTGTGTGTGTGTGTGTGTGTGTGTGTGTGTGTGTGTGTGTGTGTGTGTGTGTGTGTGTGTGTGTGTGTGTGTGTGTGTGCGTGTGTGTAGTGGCCCATGCCACCATAATTGGCACTAAGCTGTTTTTTTGTTTGATTCCCTGTGCAAAAAATGTATGTGTATGTGTCGGTGCGATACATCGTTTGCAGAAGCTGATTTCTTTCAAGACTTTAGGGTAGTTTTTTTCAGTTTTCCAGTTCCAGGGTCTTAAATATAATGTATTTATAGCTAGTACTGTTGCAGTCTGGTCAGTGACCCAAACAGACTATTCCTAAATGTGTTTTGGCAGCAGTTGATACCATTGTTGCATAAAGTCAAACACTGGTAGTTTGAGAACTTTGTGGCATAGCCATTTAAAAATGTCCCTATATGCCGTGAAAGCAACATTTTCCTACTGTACAATATGCTTATTTTTAGGTTGACCAACGTATGAGAATAGCAGGTTGCTTTTAAGAGAGGCTGCTTGTTTCACCGTCATGTAGATATTATATAACACATCCATGTATTGGTAAAAAAATACAATTGTGGACATTATCGATTAATCTGCTGATTATTTTTACATGAATCAATTCATCCTTACGTTAAGTATTAAACATGAAAGACTTATTGGCATTTCTGAATAAGACACATTACATTTCATTGCAAATTGAGTCAAACTACGTCTATTTTAATATAAGTTGCTATTGCTATTGCTATCCTGGCTCCAAGATGGTGGAATGAGCTCCCCATTGACATCAGGACAGCAGATAGCTTGCACAACTTCCGGCGCAGACTGAAAACTCATCTCTTTCGACTCCACTTCGAGCGATAGAACTATTAACAAAGCACTTATATACTAATAAAGGACTGGCTTATCTAAAGCCAGTTGAGTAGCACTTGAAATGTTTGGCTCTATGAAACCTGATGTACTTATATGATTCTGTTTTCTTCAAGGTTGTGTCTTCCTGGTCGAATGTACTTATTGTAAGTCGCTTTGGATAAAAGCGTCAGCTAAATGCAATGTAATGTATTGTAAAACAGAGAGTCGGCTCAGATATCGGAACCCCACAATGCTGGGCTCCCCTTACAACAAATCCTCACTCTAAATGATTTCCCATGGGAAGTTCAAAAGGTTTCACTCACAGGGGTCTATCACTGAAGTGTACGATGACTCAACACAAACCTTATGCAACCCTAAAGAAAATCAAGGCACTTATTCAAGGTACAAAATATAATAATGAAATGTTTAAGTATTACATTTTATTTTACACATGTTTCATCACTATTTATCTATCATTACAGGTATGTCTTATGCTGCAGCCACACGAGAGCGGTAACGGTCGTATCCGCTACAGTTCTCTATCATATAGACGGTTCGGCCACACAAGGCCGACATGGAAACGCAGAAAACGATAGCGATAACGAGGGGTTACGTATGGTAACCCTTGTTATATAAGCACAGGCGGAGCCCTCTACTGGACTCTATGGGTACTACCCCTTGATCATATCATGCAAGCATTCATCCACTGAGACTTCTATAAAGGTAGCCGTTTATACCTGAATGTGCGCGCATCTCACCGTATAAAAGGAGGCCTCGCCTCCTGACTGTCGTCCTACACCTCTCTTCAGCGAGCGGCATAGGACAGACAGTGCCCCGATTAGAGGGCTCCGCCTGTGCTTATATAACAAGGGTTACTATACGTAACCCCTCGTTATATCTCTCACAGGCTCCGCCCTCTACTGGACTCTATGGGTACAGTGGGTGGAGCCCCAATGTATACACACACGCGCTGTCGTCCAACTACAACCGTTCTATTCCACTGCCCCTGACCGGCTTTCTGGTTAGTAGCCGCTGCACCGCACCCGCAACGGAAACTCTGCCGCACGGTTCCCTCGTCCCTTGGAAGAGGCGGAGAGGTGGGTGTTTTTCATCTGCTGGTGGACTACCGGAGAGATTCACAGCAGGAGCACATGCTTGCCTCGGGGAGGGAGAAAAAGAGCCAGAGCGTCCACCGCTGAGAATAAACAGAAGGGCAACCATGGAAACCATGCGCGGGAAGTCTTCTTTTGCTGTATTTTGTGGCAGAAGTACAGCGCCACTTACAGGCTACTACAGCGTCTCCACCACTTTCGAGCGGTCTCGTGTGAACGGACACGTTTCTGGTGCCTATTGCGTGTGGACGGAATACTTTTTTGATATAGAATTTGGTTCGTTTAAGTTACCGTTCTCGTGTGGCTCCAGTCTTAGGCAGTGCTTGGGTACTCCCTGTAATCAATCAGAGTGAAACCCTGTAATGGAGGGGGAAAAAAACAATGTAATGCTAGATTAAGATTGTCAGCTTTTTGTTTATTATCTGCGTATTTGTCTTTCTGAAACGAGATCAATTCAATCTCTTTTATGATTCGAAAATTATAAAAGTAGGGTAGACATGTGGTTAAACATCTGCAGCATAGGGCAATATCTATCTTCATCTGTAAGAATCATTAATAATTGTTTGGCTTTAAAGCATTCTTTCAAACTTAATTGAACATGGCCATTTCTACTGATCATAATTCCATTGTTGAGGTATACTAAAATAGATTTATACTGTGCAATTTTCCAAACTCACATTGGTTTCTCATACAGCATCTCTGTATAGTATGTGTATTCACCGGGGCTGAAATCGAATAGTCCATTTAGCTTAGGAACCTTCCTAACGGAGTGAAATGACACGGAAGTCCCTCAGTGGCAGCCATGATAAGTGCCGTTCCAATTCTCTAGAATAGATGATAGGAAAGGAGGTTTCAAACGTCCTTTATAACCTCCTTTAGCTTAGGAACCACTGGACCTCCCTTTATGAAAGGAGAGGAGAAAATGCTGCCCCACAATGCCTTGCGGCCGCAGCATTTGCAGTCACACAACAGTCAACAGAAATGATATCATGAAAGTTACGGTGCTTATTAAGCATTTTAAAACGTATGTGGTAAGTTGCCAAAGTGCTTTGTTTTGAACGTTCATCAGTATTATAATCAAAAAGAGAAATATGAACATTAGTTTTTACTGAAATTATCAAATAAAGTCAACATTTCACAGTGTTTACTGAGCTGTGTGGGGGTTGTTCAACTTTTAAAAGATGTTTGAATGGTGATATACACACTGATAGATGTTAAGGACTTACGTTTATAATAAATACATCTGTATTGGTTTTAAGATATTTTCATAGTTCATACAATCATACGTATTGGGATCATTTGTATTAATGTGGACCGGAGGGAGAGGGTGACGAGCATAAGTTTCACTTTCCTTTTTTATTTCAATTCCAACTTTGGTCATGAAGAATATGTTTCTCTGTTGTTCATAAAGCATAAAACAACAGCATCAGAGCACGGTGCAGAGTCCCTAGATTAGTTTACAGTAGTCCCTCCTCCTTATTATACATCCATGTTGTAGTCCGCTGTATAGAAAACTGTAGTTTCCATAGTTTCCCCACAGCAGCAGACGCACATTTATGACGTCCGCTGGCGCATCATAAACACGTCGGATAGTGAAAGTAATTAGGCTTGTTTGAGACCATGGATGTATAATAAGAACTGGATACAGCGTGGGAGGCGGGGCCTCATTCATTCCTATGAGAGCTGCTCATTAGCGCATGATGATAAAATGGCCCAACTTTTGAGAGAGTGAAACGTCACAGATTACCCAGCATGCCTGAGAAGTACCCGTATGTGCACTCATAGAGCATGCGCAACTTTAACCAAAATGCTCTTTCACATCAAGCACGTCAATTTGCGTACACGTAACAGCACCGCGCGTTCATGACAGCATGGTAATGGATTGTTGTTATCATGGATTTGATATGAACGAGGCGGCAGTTAGCAGCTAGCGGCTAGCTAGTAATGATGCTAATGTACACATCAATCGTTATGTACTTATATTACGCTGTAACAGGATCTAGTGATATCCAACAGAGCTTCATTTAGCATGAAATAATTATTGCACTGTATATATATATATATATATTTATATATTGTAGTGCCGTGAAAAGCAAATCGGAGGCGGTGTATTAAGAATGGAGTTCCAATCTTTATTATCCATTACTTTCAGAGAGGTTAACACATGCACTGCTCTGCCTGATGAGCTAGCAGGAATGGCAGCTAAAGCTACAGGTGTTCCCCACTAAAGGGTCCGTGTGGCAACACAATAAGCAAGGTGAATTATGTCCAATAACATGTCACCACACAAGCCCCCCCAGAATTCACACATAAACAAAATCAGCATGGCGGGGAGGAACGACACGCCGACCCCCACGACTCCTGAGTACGGGAGTCGGAAAAGTGACTCCCGCCTGTGCGGCCCCCGGAAGGGGAGGGACCGGAACAACAGGTCTTAAATCCGTGACAGGGGACGAAGCCGGGGGGCGGCCCCGTCGCGGAGGTCGAGCCAGCACCACAGGCTGGTCCAAGTCCAGGTGAGCAGCCTTCACCCGGTCCACCGAGACGTGCTCGGCCTTGCCACCCAGGTCGACCACCAGGTGCTTGTCCCCGTGCTCCAAGACCCGGAAAGGCCCATCATAAGGGGGCTGCAGGGGGCCTCTGTGCGCATCGTGCCGGATGAACACGTGCTCCGCCGAGCGGAGCTCTGCGGGAACCTGGGACACCTGAGTACCGTGCTGAGTAGTAGGGATCGGAGCAAAGGCCTCAGCGGCGTCACGCAGGAAAGCCCGCTGGGCCGACGCCGACCAGGGAGCCGATGCATTTGGGAGGAAATCCCCCGGAACTCTCAGCGGCTGACCGTAGACCATCTCCGCTGTAGAACACTGTAGATCTTCCTTAGGTGCGGTCCTCAGGCCCAGCATCACCCAGGGCAGCTTGTCGACCCAGTTACCGTCCGTAAGGCCGGCCTTGAGGGCCGCCTTCATGGAGCGATGAAAGCGCTCGCAGAGGCCGTTAGC